GTAAAACTCTTTACGGCTTCACAGAGAATCAATGGCGATAAATTTAAAATGGAAATTAAAATCGGCATGTCCCGATATGCTGTTAACCATCATATTTATGAGCCGAACATTCTAGGCCAATTGATTTTTGGGTAAAATTGCCATTTTTATTCAGTTGGTTTCAATCTGCAGTTTAGTCGATTGATTATCTTCAGTTTACTGCATTCTATACAGAGTGTTTGCTGTTGGATCTATGAAGCTTAGGAACAGCGGCGATTTATTTTCGCAGTTTGAGTGGATGCCTCAAAGTCATTAGATCAGATTTTGTTGCAAGCTTTGTGTTGGTTCGAAGCCTCATTAATGCTCTATTGAGCAGTGTGATTGGAGGATGGATTGGATGATCAGTGAATTTTTGGCGATTTTTTTCCCAACCACGGATTTTCCTTGCAATCTACTACACTCTGAAATTTCAGGTTCAGGTTCACCTTTTCGTGAAAAATCAGTCGACGCCCGGATTTTAACAAAATTTCCTCCGCTTGCACAGCAAACCTTTCGAGTTGCAGCGCAAAATTTGCAAGTTGCTACTTCCAATGGTTTGGAAGTTTCAATTTTTGTTTAGCTGCGCCGCCATTTAGTAGGACTCATGAGTTTCACCTTCCAGTTCAAAGGCTTCTGAAAAACCAACCAAGTGTTGGACTCTGGAACAAATTTTCCAGTTTTTAACTGAAATCTTCATCTTTACTATCCCAAATTGGCAAATTGCAATTTTGCAGTGTTCAGTCGTTATTGATGTGCCTCATTACAATACATGCCGAAATTCATTTTCCAACTTTGAGCGGATTTTTTAAAACCCTAAAATCCACTTTTATCAATATATTTTGTAATGTTTCAAAGCTTCATTCATGATCTATCGATCAGTGCAAGTGCTGGATTGGTTGGGGAATCGGTGAATTTTTGGCGATTTTTTATCCCAGCTTATACCAATTTAGCCGATTCCAGGTCCTTAGAATTCGGTCGGTTTCCACACTTTTTTTGCGTCAGACCGAAGCATTCCATCGAAAAATATTGCGTTTGTAAAATACCCGGCCAATCCAAAGCCATCCAGCAGCAATTTGATCAAATCGCGACAATGAACGATTTTTGAGAAAATAAAAATTGATTTTATTGAATGGTTTCCAAAAATCCGCAATAACTCCAAAACCAAAAAAGATCAAAAAATTCCGAGTAGGAGTCTGGGTAGAAGAAGTCAAAACACATAAAAAATATGGTATTAACTTTTTCTCTAAAGTGACCAATAAGCGATCTCTGAACGTTTTTGCATTTTGAAGATTCAGCCCTCATAAGAGCCTGTACAAACTCTTCTTTCGTTCCTCGCCGGCTCAACAGTGGATTTTTTCCGAAACAAACCTGCCCAGTTTGTCACGTAATTTGCCCATAGGAGAATTTTGGAAAAACGCACTTGTTGGCTTTTCACTGGAAAATCTTCTGAAGAATTTGCTCGATTTTCGCATTTTATTTTTCGGTGACAACCAAACTTTCCATCGAAAAGTCTTGCTTATGCCCAGTGCAAAGCCATCCAGGAGTGATTTGATCAAATCTCTGCAAAGAACGGTTTTCGAGAAATTTTCAAAAAAATTGGTTTCTATTGAATAGTTTCCCAAAATCCTCAATATCTCCCAAAGCCAAAAAAGGTGGATAAAATCCGAGCACGCTGCTGAATAGAAGGAGTCAAAATGCATAAAAAATGTGGGATTTACTTTTTCACTACAGTCACTAATAAGCGATCTACTGAAGATTTTTAGACTTCGAGCCAAATTTTCTCAACTGGATTCAAATGAAGAAAAAAAAGATTCTCAATCTCCCAGAACAACAATTAGCGCAGAAATAAATGAGCGAAAAACAGCAATTGTAAAGGAAAATTTGGTCAATTTCATAAGGATTGTGGGTTTAATCTATCTTTAAAAGTTCGATTTATGAAGTCTTTCTTCGTTCTTCACTGGCTTATCAGAGCTTAATTTTTTTCATACATATTTTATCCATACGGAAGGACTTAGAAAGGGAAAATTCCAAAAAACAATTTCTGTTTTCACTCAAAAATCTCATCTTGCTCCATTTTGGCGTTTTATTTTATTTTTCATTCAAAACGAAGCTTCCAATCAAAAAATGACTCTCTTGATAAAATCTCGCGCTATTCAAGACTTATCCAACACGAATGTTTGCTTCTTCTGATCTCCT